ATATTAATCATAAAAAATCAATAATTATTTAGCAAGTTTTATGATGTGACCATTGGGGTAGCGCAGATTCACCATCAAAAACCTTTACATAACTTTGATTCGCCTCTCCAAACTTCACAAGACACAGTCTAGACTGTGACGTCACATGACGTTGTATGTAGATGCATTTCTGCAACGGAGTATAAATAGGCCAAGTCCAGTTTTTTTTAACGAAGATATTGTAGAGTAGATGCAATTATTTTTTCTCTTTTGAGCTTTTTCTAAGAACTAAATCTTCACGATTAAATGTAGATGTGTAATATTCACCACTATCGCATGGATTCAATTTATCATTGAGTCAAATGCTGACTGACGTTTTTCATACTCATTGTTAGGCCATTATTTACACACTGTATTGTCGATGGATTTTTCCGTTATTTCCCGATCATGACAAGGAGCACACGGCGGGTGTGACCGGTCGGCAGGGGATGCTCACTCCTCCATTGCACCTGATCCCACCTCTGATGTTTTGGAGGTCCGTGTTTGCTCTGCTCCTATTTTGTATTGTTTATTGGACTTTTGAGCTTGAATACTGTTCGTTATCTCCATATATTTCATTCATATTCTATAATTTTTTATTTGTATTGTATAATTTTTCATTTGTATTGTATAATCTTTATTTGAATTGTATAATTTTCATTTTGTATTCTATATTTTCTATTTGCATTGTTTAATTTATTATTTGTATTTTTATAATTTCTTACAGACTCTAAGAGTTTATCCTTAGGGATATTAAACATATGTCATATGTGCAATCTTCAGATTCCCAGTTTTAGTATAAAACCAACAGTTCTTACAAAAATTTGAAGGAATGTAAAGTTTCTATTAGAGATATATTTAACGATTCCTTTTACGATCCCATATGTTCTTTTTCCAAATGTTCTGTGAAAAACTGTAAAACCTGTGATATTTTGATTACTTGCTCTTCGTTTTCTAGTAATCTCACTGGACAGAGCTTCTATACCAAAACTTTGGAAAATTTTAATTGCAAATCCCTTTGTACCCTTTGTGGGCTTATTTATGTCGGTGAAACCAAGGGTTCACTTAATAAAAGAATTTCGGTACATAAATTACAGATTAACAACGGGGCCAGCAGCTTGTATACAAGCATTTTAATTTATCTGATCATTCTATTTTGTTAATGAAAGTTGGAATTCTAGAAAAGATTTACCAACATACTAATAGCCCATCACTGAGTACACCTTTCCACAGACAACGAGAAGAATACTGGATAAGAAAACTAGGCAAGGCCTTTCAATATGGTAACAATGACAACGTCGATAGTGTTGGGAATCTTTCAAGCCCACGGTGTAGCAATGTGAATGCAATGGGACTTTTTAACAGTACAAAGAGATGTAAGCGTAGTCATGGACATCGGTCTTACTTATAATACACGATGTCTCCTTTAATTCACTACTACTTTACATGTATATAAGTAAACAATTAGACTTTCATCACATTCTCACTAAACTTTACTCTGTCCCTTTGAAAGTTATGAATATTCTATTTGTAAAAGTCCAGGAAATTCCAAATTTGGATTCCTCGACACCAGAATACAGGCTCGGATGTGTGGTTATGGATATTGCAAATCATAGGCTTTTTTAAACCGCCACGTTTTTTTTCTTTTTTACGGAAGAAAATACAGCTAAAACTACCCGGTTTTTTTCCTTAAACTTAAATATGCCAACAAAGGAATTGATGCGGTAAATATAAGTAATATTCTTAATCACAAAAGGGCTCAGTCTTGTATTCCACCATATTTTCAATTGAAGACTACACCCTGTATTTCCTATAAATATATATCGACTATTGCTTCCAAACTTTTTCATTACAAGAAATTAAATATTACAGAGCCTGGATATTGACCATCCTAAACATAATCCTCCATCGTGTTCATGTTCTTCTTCACCCTACAACTTTAGTCCTGCTGGACACATTATTACTGGTGACGTAAATATAGTTAATAATGAGGACCTTTTAATATTTATGAAATTATGATTCCAGTTGAAAGATCGGGGTTCCCTAAATTTTGGTCCTTTCAAAATAAGCAATTTTTAATATTCCCAGCAACCAAAATGAATTTGAATTGCCATATTTATATTGGATTCCGAAACTTCATACAAATCTTTACAAAGATACATAACAGGTTCCAGTAAATGTTCTACCAAGCCTCTTTCTTTACTCCTCACTAATATATTAACAACAGTTAAGGAGAAACTTCAAGAGTACTGTGTAACAATATATTCGAGAAGTGGTGTTAATCACATGTTGATACTTGAAAATTCCAAGGAACTTTTGGAAAAAATTTGAAATTACAAAATTTTTACCAAAATCAATAACATAAAAACTTACGACTTTTCAACTCTGTATACAACCACTCCCCATGATAGATTAAAGTCCAGGCTTTTTGACATCATTGACAGCTGCTTTTTTTAAATAAAAATGGAACTGGTAAATTTACTTACCTTGTCATTGGTCATTTGCAAAATTATTTTGTTAAAAAAATTCTGATTGTACACACAAGTATTCTGAAGTTGATATTAAAAAGATGCCTGAGTTTCTGATTGACAATATATATGTGATTTTTGGAGACCAGGTCTCCCAACAATCTGTTGGAATTCCCATGGGTACCAATTGTGTCCCGTTATTAACAGACCTATGTTTGTATTCATATGAAGCAGAATTTATTCAAAATCTTATACATGAGAAAAAAATCTCTTACTGTGGCCTTCAACTCGACATTTAGATATATCGACGACGTATTATCAATTAACAATAGTTAATTCATATGTCGACACGATATATCCCAGTGAGCTTGAAATAAAAGATATCACAGAGTCTGACATATCTGTTTCATAGTTGGATATTTTACTAAAAAGACGTTAATGTTAATGTTAATCTAACTACAAAGTTTATGATAAACGTGAGGACTTTAACTTTAACTTTTCCATCGTCAGCTTCCCTTACTTATGCAGCAATATATCCTCATCACCTGCATACTGGGTGTATATCTCTCAGTTGATTCAATACGCAAGAGCATACTCTACGTGTGAACAATTTCTAAAACGAGGCAAGTTATAGAATAAAAATAAAGATTTTACAATACAAATAAAAAAATTATACAATACAAATGGAAAATTATACAATACAAATAAAATTTATACAATGCAAATTGAAAAATATATAATACAAATGGAAAATTAAAGAAAATAAAAATTATACAACTTGAAATTATACAATATAAATGAAAAGTTATAAAATACAAATAAAAATTATACAAATACAATACAAATGGAAAATTTTACAATGCAAACGGAAAAGATCGAATATTGCGTCGTTTGACTTACCGTAAGTAGATGCAATTCTGTTTATTCGCCATTATTGCATGAAATCCTGGTAGCGAAGGAATTCTGGGAATATAGAGATTTTAGTTCGGATTTTCTCTGTTCTTATACGTTCTTATACGTAAATCTATTGAGCTCGCTTCGCGAGCGGTGCTCGCTATAAATGTAAACTATGCAATATTTATCACTTTCTAAATAATTATGTATGTAAAAATTTGCCCATTAATATGCAAACGATATACAAGTGTGTAGTTTTAATGTGCATACAAGTGTATAAATATTGGCGATACTCTTCATAATTAAGCCATGACTACAGCTTCAGTTATCCCCCAAAAGCATGAACCATAAAAATTACTGGTCATCATGAAATGATTAATTAACAAACTTAAACTGGTCAGAAGTTGAACGGTTTTCACGTGCTTATGAGTAAAAATTGATGTTTTATGACTGATGTATTACTTTCGCATCACTACAAATTACAGAACTGTGTGTCAGTTGATTTCCTATCATGCAGTTAACATATTTCTTTTTTTTTTTTAAATGAAACATAATAAAATATACGCTCAATCAATAAAATATTTTTCTGGGTTTCAAGTATACAGAGGTATTCGCCAGATTAATCTTTATCCATGATATGCAGTGATTTTCGTTATAAGATTTTATTATCATTATTAAAGGAAGCAATCTAGGTTGTAATTCAATTGAAAAGGGATTTTTAAGATTTACAATTTAAAATAATATTTTTTCATTGAAAATACAAAGAATGTTATCTTAACCTTACTGGACTTGTACCGATGAGAAAACTGCTACTGTAATAAGCAAATTAACTTGAAGTGTACATTTTTTTTTTCATTAAGAAGTTTAATTCTCATGTCAATCATGTTTTTTTATAATTGTAAGAATAACAGCATTAATTGGTCTTAGAGAAATTTTATAATGGGGACCACGTGAAATGATTAAACTGTTGATAAAGAACCACAATATACTTCCCCTTAAATAGAAATGGGGATCTTTTTTGCACAAAAAGATATACCAAAAAAATTACATAACTATACATGTACGTACAGTGCATTCTAAAAACAAAATTCTTAATAACTGTTTATTCAGAATAGTTTTTGATGTGATACGATATGCTGTGCGTTTTCTTTCTACTTCAAAATTTGCAAAATAGAAAATGTCTACTATGTGGGGCTCGGGTGATTTTTTTTTTAAATGTCTTTGAATGTAATTTTTACCCAAAATTTAAAAGTAAATCAATAAAGTAAACCGATTTTTTTTATCGAGCATATAACATATATGTATTTTTCATATTATAGGTCTTAGTTTTTTAAACTATACGAACGATATTTCATTTATTTGTTGACTATTTCTCAGAAAAGTTCCAAATATGAAATTAAAAAAATTATCTATTTCAGGTTTTTTGTCTATAAAAATTTGCTCCACAAAATATAGTCCCTTACAATCCCATAGATTTATGGATTGGAATTTTTATTTTTTAGATGTTAGAGACTCAAGAGCGCGTAAATGAATACCCCTTTCTTCAATTTCTAAAGCCATGACTAACGTGAATGAGTGACCCACATGTACCATAATCTACCAAGACTTCATCTTCTTAAATTTTGCGTTTTCGACATTTATTAAATGAATATTATGCACAGTGTGAGTGAAAATACAAGAACTTCATATTTTCCCCCAAAAATTTGCAAACTGTCAGCTCAAAACATTTACGTATATATTCCAGTTCAAGATAGACAACTCTTACTGGAAATCAACGATGCTCATTTTAATAGTGGTGGGTAGAGGTAATTTCAATACTTTTGGTATCTTTCTGTCACAGATAGTATAAATTCTTTGCATGCAAATCTTCTTTAAGCTCCTAACGTGTGTGACACTTTCTATGCAGTAACTTTTAATTTTACAGTACACCTCCGTTCTTTTATCTTGTTTTGGAGGAAACGGTTCCTTATCTTTTTCTATTTGGTCTATTATTTTCAAACTTTCTTGAATCGAAGCTGGTATCATTGCATTTATCATGATTTTAATATGTTCAACATCTGATGATCGAAGTAGACACTGATCCTCGCTATCAAGTTCAAAAAGTTTTCCAATTAGAACTGTTATGGGGAAATGATTGTCGATCTTCAGGTTTGGATCCGCCCCATTTTGTAAAAGAAGTTTGATCAGTTTGTCGTCTACACCGGTAAGGACGATAGTTCTGCTAAGAGCATGCAGGCTGTTACCTAATTGGTTAATAGAACTATCGATCTCTCCGACATAATTAGGATTACCTCTATGTTTTAGTAAAACTGCTCCACATTTGCTCATATACACCTTCAAATACCGATATCCCTGCATTTGAAGGGCATATTGTTCCACCGTTTGAAATAAGCAGTGTAAACCCGAAGAAAATCCACATCTACCAAACGCAGATCTAATTCTCATATCCTCAAAATCTTTTTCAAATTGAAGTTCATCAAAGTTTGGATCCGCGCCTGCATTGAGCAACAGAAGGGAACATGCAATAATATAGTTTGAAGAATTGTCAAAATCGTGACAAGCTGAATGAGAAAGTAGGCTATATAATGGGTAGGTGCGGAATGGAATTGATGCCCCAACATTGTGTCCATGTTTAATCAAAATAGTTGTGACGGCCAGTAAACGTTCATACCATTTTTTATCAAAAGATAAAGTATAGGAATATAGGACATGGAATAAGTTCATCCCTTCGAATAATGTCGATAGATCAGTTCTTAGTTGTAATAAAACGTCTAAACATTCTGGTCTTGCATTTTTTAAAGCGGCACCGACTGCACTTTTGATCTCTTCATCGGACGGGCGATCTGATAAAAGTGTACATAGGGCATACGGGGAATCAAGCTGACACGCCATTTCAATGTATGCTTCGTTGCCTTTAAATCTTTTTCCTTGTACAAATTTCCCATGAAAGTGGTCCAGTATAGTTTTTATGCACCCCACGTGTCCACTTTTTCCCGCCAAATCTAACGGCGTCTGTTTGGTTTCATTTGCCTCCCTGTCGTCTGTCTTGTTCTCTTTGTAACGATCCCCGGTCGACTTGTAATTGAAAACTGCTGGAACGTTGTCTAAAGGACGTTCCTGGAGCAACATGTTTAGAATCGTTTTATGCCCCAACCTTGCTGCTAAATGCATGTACGGAAACGACGAAGACTCGTGGGGTGGTTTAAATATACCCTTATGAAATAATAGACTCACTGCTTCCACATTGTTTGCGATGATAGCGTAGTGTAAAACATCCATTCCATTTTCTCCTTTGTACTGTTCAATAGTTTTCTTGTTAGCCTTTTCTATACACGCCTTTAATGCGGTTGTCTCGGAGTAAGTCTGTATCATATGAACTAAAGAGGACACTACGGACGACTCCATTTTGTTCTGAAAATGAGCGTCCTTGGTTTTGGTTCCCGTCCAATAATCAAAGAGAGGTAACTCTTTTTCAGGGCAACATAATACTATGATACAACATTTTGATATTGGTCTGTCTCTCAAAGGGAGGTCAGGGGGGTGAAACGGGGTGAAAAGAAGAAAAAAAAGGGTGGATCGAGGAGTAGAAGACTAGAAAGGGAAGGAGTTCAGTGACCCTCTCCGTAAATACTTAATGTCAAAAACATAGAATTATTCACTACAGTCACTGTGTATAAAGAGATCTATGCTTGAAAATTGAGCTAATTCTGCAACACATTTTTTTTTTTAATTCTAACAATCTCGTCAATATACCAACAAATTGAAAAAATATGTTTAAAACGTCAGCCAATTTTTCAACCATATCTCAACGTTCAATTAATGTAGCAAGCCGTAGGGACCAGGCAATAATTTTCACTAGGGTGGGACCGGTGCAAAAAAAAAAATAATTAATAAAGTCTTGGTCCCATATATTACAGAATAAAAAAAAGTATGTTCCATTTTGTGTGAAAAAGTCAAATTAATATTCTTACTTATATAACATGCATGACCTTATAATTAGCATCGGCCATCTAGGGGGGTGGGGTAAATGACCACTACTTATAGGTACAGACCAATCTGATTAAAATACAGATCTCTTCATAGCGCAAAGCGCAGAGAGCTATGAAGAGATCTGTATTTTAATCAGATTGCGTACAGACTCCATTCAGTTGAGGTAAAGTTGGTATTTTTCTTTTCAAAACTAAAAGTTTGGGAAATTTGAATGTGATTTTGGATTATGTGCAACTTGAAAATGTATTTTAAAAATCGGTTAAATGAAGAATATATGAGCCATATTTCATTTCTAACAATACAGGAAGATGAGGGATACCTCTGATGACTCTGGTACTATAGTCTTAAAAATCTAATTTGATTTATTTTAAACATATATCTACATTTGGAAATAATCAAGAATTCTTAATGCTACTGATTTAAGAAAAACAGAGTTTCTAATATTGTGCAGGGACTTGAATTGTTTTTCTTGTAATAGCATATACTTTCTATATCTATTTATGATTTATTGTAAGAAGACCTGAATTTCCATAAAAAAGCATCTATCATCGTGTCAAGGTCAGTCAAATCGATATTGGTGTGTTTTGTTAATTGACGGTGACCATTACTTTTTTCTTTTTTTTTTTCAATGAAGTATGGCAAATTTGCTATAAAGCCTACATTTTCTAAATCTAAAATAATATCATAGAGACAGTTGACAGCTTAGCACTCAAGATCAGGTCTAAATACATTGTTGAAAATAGGAGGAATCTGTGACTCGAGCGTTTATTTCAGGGTTATGAATTACTATTCATATATGACTACGAATTGTTCGCTCATTCAGTATAAAATACAGTGATATGAATATTCCAAAAATAGTATTATTTAGGTTTCATATAGTTAGGTATTTACATACATATTGTATTATGTACATATATAATTAATATGTTTTGAGTAATAATTTTTAGTTCGTACGGTTTTCTAGAAGAAAAATATGAAATTCCCATATATATTATTGTTGTTCAAAAACTGTTTGTCTCATCATTATGAATCCCCCCTCCCCCCCCCCCCCCCAAGTACTATAGTACTAGTGTCCAATCATGCTTTGCACCTGGAGATGAATATTGCCTGGTTCCTTAATTCAGCATTGATATAGCTGCAGGACTGTAGCGTTATAGTTTTGTATTTTAGTCTTGTAATGCAAATATTGTGCAATTTACGGCGCTTGTTGTTACTCGCTTGTTGTGAATTTGTTGTCGAATGGCATAAAATTCACAACAAGCGAGTTTAATTAATTATTGGTCTGCAGAGACGACTAGAAAGGATTAAGAGATGGATAAAATATACTTATTGGTTATAGAATATGTCTAAAATTAGGAAATGAAAGGTAGTTGCTTGACCAACGCTGGAAAGTTCCGAAATACATCCCCAAAGTGCGCAGAAAATCTTGCGCCGTAAATTGCACAATATTTGCATTACGGGAACTGTAGCATTATGGTCAAAGACTACTATAAAACTATAACGCTATGTACTAGTACAGTTCTGCAGCTAGCGTTGATACAGCTCAAAAACGTTGAATCAACATATGATTTGAACGTTCATTCAACTTCCATTTCCAACCAAAAATCAATGTTCATCATTAACGCTAGCGCTAGGGATATGACGTACTTTGAAACAACACAGATATGTATGATGGGTTGATTTAATATATATAGCTAGTCAATCTTTGGTTTGGCTTGTTCTTATTTATACTAAGTCTTCGATTTAAATAAATATACTCGGTTTCAAAGTCAACCCATAACTAAAGATGTAAAACATCATTCTTGGGACCACGTGGCATTGTTTATTGTCAAAAACCGGAAGCACGAGGTTTTGTTATTTCTCGTGCCAAGTCTCGCGTGCATTTTCCTAGCGATCGTATGTGACGTCAATTCTCATACCCCCCTCTAGGGTGAAGGGTTTAATATCGGCTATATAAGCAAGACGATCAGCAGATTTCACCGGCTTCGAAGAAGTCCACATCGTTAGAATAGGGAGATCTTCGTGAGTTAAAACGTTATTTCTAGCCTGTGACATGGCTAATTCAAACCCTGTGGTGAGTGGAAATACAAAAATTGGTAAAGTGAAGGGGAAATGTGTTTAAATTGGGAAAGTAAAATATCGACCATTTCAGCCGACGACAAAAGAATCCATCTTGTTTTGGCTCTTACTTCGCATTTTGTTTACTCTTGAAAATTATTTTCTGAAAAACGTGCTAAGTCTGTATTGTTTGTAAATTTAATTTCTTTTACAACAGCTATGAAGAGAAGCAAAAGAAAAAAATGAAATCCCTTAAATCTTACTTGAACAATAAGTGGACGTAGTGAAATTCGCGATTTTCATTGTGAACAGGTGCGCAAATGATCAAGGGCATGTTGTTTTGCTGTGGAAAAGAGAAAAATCAATGAAATTTGAAATTTTGTACATTGTATAATTAAAGTAATGATTTACTTTTTTACTATGAATTATATTTTCTAAATTACAAATTAAAAGTAAAATAAACAAAATTTAGGCCTAATTTAAATTTGTTTAAATTGCAAATGGCACTGGTGACTGAGTGCTGTAGGATTTCCCCCCTCAAATGTAGGAAGTAAGTGGATAAAAAAAATGAGAGAGGGCACTGATATTGAATGCATGCACTGCCAATCATTAGAATTTTCAAAAGGGATGCAGTTGAAATATTGATTGGATGAAAAGGTGAAAAAATATAATGTGAAATAAAGACAGGGACATATATACAAGTATATATATAAATGTGTTCTAATAAAACATTGCTCACATACATGTAAAACTGTCCTGGGGGGAAAAATGAACAATAGTAACTTGGGCCTTTCAGTACCCAAAGCCAATATTCAATTTACATTTACTGTAAAGCTGTCAAAATTCCAATCAAAGGGGACCCTGGCATCCTTGGTGCAATTAGGAGATATGTCTTTGGACACTGTGTCAAAGAGCATAAGCAAATTGTTCTATACGATTCAGAAATAGATACTGTAGATCACCAAATTTTCGTGACACCTTATTTTTGCAAAAGTTATTTGGGAATTCTAAGCAAGACAAAATTTCCAAGAACTAGTGATGGGAATCGGTAAGAATTTCATAATTGATGATCAGGCTACTGTAACTAACTAATTATCAATTATAATCGGACATTTACAAAGTCTGTCAATTTTAGTTTATTAAATGGTAAGAATGGTTGAATAACTACTTTCTGTGGTGGTCCAGCTGTAGTTGGAATAACTGTGTCTCGGAACAACCCCTAGTCCTTAGGACAATATCATTTTAACGACAGAATGTTCTATCTAGTCAAGCTGGTTCTATGCTCATTTTGTAGAATCCAAAGTACGTCCATACCCCGGAATGAGCGTTGTTACGCAGGTATGAATACAGTGTCTCTTCGTCTGCGCCATTACGATACACAAATAAGTTAATAGAAAAGTTGCGGCTGGAATATTTGACTTAAAAACTATTACGCTTTTAAAATAAAATAAATAACCCAATTAATCAGAATAAAAATTTTGTAATCGAGCGCTTGGATTATGCCAGCAATCGACTGATTTTCGATTATAATCAATGATTGGAACACCACTACCAAGAACATTGATTTTTGTTGTTTATAATCTTTGATAATAAAAATAATTAAAAAATATACATGAGAATGAAATTTTTACAACAGTAGATCTTGCATGAAAATAAAGTCATCTTGCAAAGAAAGTTTAATTCTTCCAAACCATAGTAGCATTGTTGAGCAGTGTACAGCTATTATACATTATTATACTTTCATGTTAAATACTATAATCTGATTGGTTTAGACGCATTTAACAATCCGTAATATTACCCTCAGCATTAGCAACACAGTTGACAACGGGTAACATTACGAAAATGTCACATGCGTTCAAATCATGCGCGTACGGTTCACCATAGAATTCTAAAACGTCAGTTGTGCGTTTGAAAGAAGCCAAATAAACGACGTCAATAAAAGCTTGCGTCCGATTTAGTATACTTGAAAACAACAAACGACAGACGAAACATCCTTGCGAGTGCAAACTTTAGATGATAAAGGACTTTTTGAGTAGCAAACAAACAATAAAGAGGTTGGTAAATCTTTTCCGAAACTTTCTTATTGAGAAAAATAGAAGCGGTGAGTTTGAAAGCTTTCTAAGCGTGAACTTATCGACGATCTCCGAATTTTTTTTATGACATCCAAAATCAATAAGACATTCAGTATAATAAAATAAATAGTGCACGTTTTTGAGGGTAACAGTTGAAATTGACACCCCTCGGAAAACCATTGTCAACCTCCGCTGACGCGTCGGTTGACAATGGTTTTCCTTGGGGTGTCAATTTCAACTGTTACCCTCAAAAACGTGCACTATTTATATAATGTAGTAAAATCAATCTTCTCATGGAAACTGTTGTCCTTCATTTCATGAATTTGACTTATTATTATTGACACTGTTGGGTCATTTATCTCCTTTGAAAAGGGAAGGGGGGGGGGGTTGTAAAGTCATGAGCTGATAAGAGTTTAATAGCATGGGGGAGGGGGGGGGGGGTAAGGAGGGGGTTATTCTCTTTGTACACCCCTCTTCTTGATATGCCCCTGGATACAACATACATAGCTCTCTGAATTTTAAGCAGAGTTGCCATTCTGTATCACTTGGACCAAGTAAATACTTCATGGACCTGGAAGAAGATTTTTTTTTTAATATTTTGTATTATAAACAGCAAAATAATAGGTTCATAACTATAGTATTAGTATATATGTACCTTACGTATACAAATTTATGGAATTTGGCTGTGGAAAATATACAAGTCATCTCTCTGTAATTTTATCAAGAAATGTACACATGGTAACAATGTATACAATATAAGCACCATATGATACCAGTAATCTGATTGGAGACTGGGATAATAAAATATTAAAAGTGTTAGAACTAAAGTTTACAACATATATAGAAGATATTCAATGTTTTGAAGTTGAACATGGAATTTATTTAGTGGGACAAGATTTTTTTGATATTTTCATGAGTGCAAAGCATTCAAGTGAAAATATAAAGAAAATTGATGTCTCAAAAGGGAAATAAATTTCATATTCAACTACAAAATATTGGATATTCTTTTTATTTCTTTTAATTTCCCGTAAGGCATTGCCTCTGTCTTTTTTTAACACAATCTCAGAGGCTGTGCTGTCATAATTGAGACGACATAGCCCAGCCATTGTGAGAATGAAAATGTTGTAAACATGGATTTCAACAATATATATGGAGATATTTGGGCAGTTTAAGTCTATATCAGGATGGTTTACTCTCCCTTGAAGGGAAGGAAAATCTTTAGTTTTTCCACACTTGTAAAATTCTTTCACACTGTGACAATTAAAATATCATTTTGATATTCTTTCACGCTGACAAAATATCCAATAAATAAATTACAGTATTTCATCATGTTCACTTTTGAAAATATAAGCATGTTCAGGCAAAATGACCTTTGTTCCTCACATCTACATAACATATCTATGAACCCAAAAGGTTTCATCTCATTTGGATGAGTAAGAGAACACTCGCAAACAAAAAAAGTACCGGGGAAGAAAGACAAAACAAAGTTAAAACAATATGTTCATAAAACTTTGTTATGGGAACATAATTATGACTCTGAATGAATGTCCTGTAAATTGATTATTTTTATTTACTGTAAATCAGCTTTTTTTCTGTGTTACAGCCCCGTTTGTACAAAACGGTGGTAGAGGATGTCATAACAAATGTCAGGGAAGCATTCCTTGATGAAGGGGTGGATGAACAAGTCCTACAGGAGCTGAAACAGGTAAATTCAGCTTTTACTTCCTTCACCTGAAACAGGTAAATTCAGCATTTACTTACTTCACCTGAAATATGTAAGTTTAGAGTTTACCTAAGATGCATTCCATGCAAGTAGCCACCCCAGAAATGAAATGTTTAAAAAAAAAAAAAAGCAGGAGACGGTATGACTGGCTTTCGATTCTTAGTGGAAGCCATGGTAAAGCCAACAAAAATATGTGGAATGTTTTAATGGAACCTTTGTGAATCACTTGTGTAAAGGTGAAGTGTTCTTAATAACAATAGAAATAGGAATGTTTTTGATGGAGGGATACCTAAATTCAGTTTTTAAATTTGTTCTGATCTGTTGGTAGTTGTGGGAAAACAAACTGCAGCAGTCAAGGGCCCTGGATTCTGGCCCTGAGCCCGCAGATCCAATGATGATCCCATCCACAATACCGTTTATGCCCCAGCCGGTCCAGAATGCCCCAGTCAAACAGCAGTTCAGTAAGTACAGGCCAGTGTTACACACATTCAATTATACTTTTGTGTATGTAAAAAAAAAAGTACTAATTATTTTACCTGACCATTTGTTTTGTTAGTGTGTATATTAAACCTATTCTTTTTTTAATTCACTTTTGTTAATGACATTATTAGAATAACAGCATATTAGTTAACACAAAGCGAAAAGAAAGTTTAATGCAGCAATGTTGAGTTTTTTTTTCCAGTAGGCTTTAAATATATTTTTTTGTGACAAGGGGACACAAAATTTTGATTTAGGCCTAGCTACGCAAAAACTTTTTGATTAATATTTTGTTTGAAGTACAATGTACTTCATTTAAAAAGTTCTGAAATCTAAAGTATTGGTAACTGATAATTTCAATTAAAATTAATGTTGATTATTCAAAAGATCTGATGTAAAATTAATGTTTAGTAGGAACTTCAGGAGTGGTTACACAGAATATGCCAGTCCCTGTACAAATCGCCAGCCAGGACATTGTAAGTACATGCAGTCTCAGAAACAAACTCAAAATGATTATATTCATGGTATCAGTCATATCTAGAGTTTAAAAAGGGTTCTTTGATGAAATACAAATTGAAACTAGGGAGAAGGATAATTTCTAGCGTTGAAAATTCTTTGTAGAATATTGCAGTTTGGTTAAAAAAAAATTGCAAAAAGCGAATGTTAGATATTCTAATCCCATATAATTGATTTAAACAACATTTTAAAATATTTAATTCAAAATAAGATTGGTTATATTCTTTCAAACTATTTGATTTGAACCAAAAAAAAATGAATTGATGAGAAAAAATTTCATTGCTACCTTTAAAGAGCCAAATCACAGTATTTCTGAATTACAGCAATTACTTGCTTATATGTATTCAGTACATTAAAAGGGACTTAATCTTGTAGAGTCAGCCAGCCGCTGCAGCCCACATGGCATTACCTCAAGGTGTCTTTCAGCAACAGTTACAGGCATTGGCCTCTCAAGGCCTTACTCTCCAACCAACAGGTAAATATCAGACTTAAGTCACTCAAGGCCTTACTCTCCAACCAACAAGTAAATATCTGTCATTGGCCTCTAAAAGCCTTACTCTCCAACCAACAATATCTGTCATTGGCTTTTCAAGGTGTCACTCTCCAACAGGTAATACCAGGCTTCTCAAACCCTTACTGTCCAAGGTTAATTTCAGGCATTTGTCTACCAAAGCTTTACTCTCCAACCAACAGGTAATATCAGACATTAGCCTCCCAAGGTGACCGTGGTGGCCCATGGGCTTCTTGTTTTTTCAAAAGGCCAGTTGATTCCCTGTAATGGAATGGAGTAAAAATCCTAGGGTTTTTTTTGTTGCAAAATTGTCCTCAAAGTAATTTTCAGAGGGTAAAACGTATTCAAAAGTTCAGCAAGTTGATGTAGAGACCGAAGTGTTGCATATTAAATGTACAGTTTTGCTTGTGATGTTTTTTGCAGGGAATGGTCAGTTTATAATCCAGGCCTTGCCACAACAAGCCACCCCTGGTCAACAATTAGGGGCCCCACAGTTACAACAGGTGACAATTTCACAAGCTGGTATCCCCACCATGATCCAGCAACAACCCCAACAACAGGTAACTACAATGAAGAGTGTGACAGGGCAAAAATGTGCTTGTAGAGAGGTTTTGAGGGGTCTGATATTAAAATTTTATAAAGGTATTGGTAAAGATCTTTGAGCAAGTATAGACAATTTAAATGAAAAGAAAGCACTTATCATTAGGTGGCAATTTCACATGGCTTAAATTATGTAAGACTTTAAATGCTATTTTGTTTTGAATTCTTGCTTGTAGACAAAAATTAGCATATAAGTTTTGTGACACAAAATTTTATCTCCCATTTCAAATTCAATCTTTGAATTCTCAATATTTTTTGAGTATTATTTTGTACAATACAGATGAACTTCAGTATCTAGAACACAGATATCTCGAATACATGTACCATGGATATGTCGAAGTAATTTTGAGGTCCCAACATATTCCTTAAGTATTTTACCCTAAATATCTCTAATCCTTGGTTATCTCGAAGTATTTTCTCAATCCCTTCAAATTCGAGATAACGAGGTTTGACTGTATATATACAAGGTACATTGTACATGCTCGAATGACTATACATCCACTACATGACTACATGCAGTGTGAAAAGTCTGACTACATGAATTTTAGATGATGCAATGTTCATATCAAAAGTAATAGAAAAAAAATTTCTTTTAGCAAAAGACACACCAGGTTTTACAGCTTGATGGAGCTGGAGACTCAAGTTCATCAGAAGATGAAGATTTTGATGATGACGATGATGACAATGAAAATGATGATGATGTCAAAGAAGAAGATAATGATGAGCAGGGAGAAGAAGAGGTGGGATTGTTTTACAGCTGTGTTGAAATATTTCTTATTCAAGTTTTATTGGTTGCTCTTCATTACATATAGTGTAAAAGAAAATCCAGTACAGAAAATATTTGCAATAATGGATTGTATTGAAAAACAGTATCCAAAAAATTCAATTGTTTTCTTTTTTCTAGCTTAATGATTAGTTACAATATTTGACATATGACCAATTTTTGCTTCGAAAATTCAGTTGGGTATAATATGAATCCTCTGACTGACTTTTACAGGAACCTCTGAACTCTGATGATGATGTCAGCGATGAGGATCCATCAGATCTGTTTGATACAGATAACGTGGTTGTGTGTCAGTATGACAAGGTAGGCTATTTTTATCAATCTGCAATAACAAAATACTCTTTTGGGAATCTTAAGCTTACCTAAGCCAAAGGCTCAAGTGAGCTTTTCTGATAGAAATTTGTCTGTTGTTGTCGGTGGCATTGTTGTATAAACTTTTCATATTTCATCATCTTATCAAGAACCACTGGGCCAATTTTAACCAAACTTGGAACAGAGTATCCTTGGTTAAAGGGGATGCAAGTTTCTTCAAATCAAAGGCCACACCCTCTTCCAAGGGGAGATAATTAAGAAATAGTGAAAATTTGGTGGGGTCATTTAAAAATCTCTGTGTCAAGAACCACTGGGCTAGAAAAAGATGAAACTTAAGAGAAAGATTTCTGAAGTAGTGTAGATTCAAGTTTGATTCAAATCATGACCACCCGGGATAGGGTGGTGCCATTATGGGCAATGAAAGTTTTACATAGGAATGCATGAGGAAAATCTTTAAAATTCTTCTTCTCGAGAACAGCAAAGTCACGATTAGTCATATTTATTTGGAAACATCTTCAGGTAGTTAAGTTTCAGATTTGTACAAATCATGACCACCGGGGGTAGGGTGTGGCCACAATGGGCAATCAAAGTTTTACTGGAAATATATAGTTAAAAAATTAACTATATATCTGCTGATGAAGAACAACAGGGCCATAGTGACTCAGGTGAGTGTTGTGGCCCATTGGTCTCTTCTTCAATAAAATTAACCTGATAGGTAATTTTAAAATCTACAATATTCTCAACCAAATTTTAGATCCTCTACTTATTGCTACCTTGTTTTTGACAGATAAACAGAAACAAAAACAAATGGAAGTTTCATTTAAAAGACGGTATCATGAATCTCAACGGAAAAGACTTTGTCTTTCAAAAAGCAACGGGGGATGCAGAATGGTGATATATGTATATATACAAAGGTTTTATATGGATTGTATATTGACTACAACATGTCACCAGAGACTCTGTGAGGACAGCATATACAAAAGTGTGCAAAACATGGTGTGTGTTGTATAATATTTTTTCCCCCACAAGGAGGTGCTAGGTTTTTGGTAAGGAGAGGTCCAGCCAATAGAAATGTTGTAAAAGGTTCATTGTGTAAAGCAATCGGGGAAAGAGGAAAAATATGGAGAGTTTATAGAAGAAGGAAAAAAATGTGTGGAGCATTGTTGTAATTTACCAGCCCTATCCCAACCTTTTTTTTTCCAAAAAGTCTTGTGTTATTGTCATCTTGTGCCCCTTTATTCCATATTGCCCACTTTTGGATGCAGGATCTGTTCTTATTCTATGATTTACCCTGTAATAATCATAAACAATGCCTGAAAAAGAAATTGAAACATGTTAAAATTTTATTAATTTTACCAGGGAGCAACATGTACATGTATTTCTTTTTCCTTGTCAAAGCTTTATCAATGGAATTTGTCAATCTGGGACATGTATGTAAGAAAAGAACTTTAGTACATATGCCAGAGTAAAACTTCTTTTATCTCTCAAATATAAGAGTTTATACATGGCTTAAAACATATATTTATTGTTTAATCCATTGAATTGTATGAAAATATGATTGAATAGTATTTTTTCTAAAAATCATACCATAGTTTTCAAGCTATATCCCAGTCAGGTTTCTATTTTTTTCTTCCAATGATTTGACAGCGTATGTTGTTGGTTTTATAACATAAATGAAGACAAAATCCACGATACAAGATTTTTTTTAAGTTTTCCAAGTCCAATTGCTTTCCATGATTAAAACATGATTAAAGAGGCATAAATTGTGGTAGCCATATTTAGATGATGAAGACTTATAAAAAATATTTTAATGTAAATGAAAACTGATTCTTGTGGAACAATAGTTCTAAATCTTCCATATCACAATTTTTTTTTTTTGAGCATTGTTATTTTTAACAGTACATGTATTGCAAAGAGAAATGACTATGGCTTGTATATGATATTCTTGCTTTTATTTCACAGTGTTCCATGCTCTCGAGTTTATTTTTTACAGAATGTATAGACACCTTTCAGTTGCTGTAACTCAGTTATTGTACCCGATTAAAAATATTTTTTGATGTAAGTTATTACAAATGTCTGTTAATAGATATACTTTGCTAGTCATTTACAGTGAATTATCATGATTATCTTCTCAGTAAGTTTTCATGTTCGTTAATACATCAAGTTTTGTACTTGCCATTGGTTGTTATTTATAAGTGATTTGTAAACAATTAGTCAATTTGGAGCCAAAATTCTAACACTTGTTTAATGCAATTTTTTTTTTCATGCACATAGTATTCACTGACCAATGTTATTGAACCAAATTATAGCTTTGGCCTGAAAAAAAAAACAATCATCATTTGTTAGCGAATGGTAGAAACCATGCTTTATGTGTTTTGCTTTCAGTTTTATGATGGTCATGTTATAAATGTAGTTGTGTTTTGAACTCATGTTTGATAATTTTCAAAGGAAGAGTTAGATATGGGCCCGAATGAAGGGGAATAGTTAGGGGCCTGAAGAAATAGATAAGGGCCCAAAGGAAGGGGGGATAAGGGCCCAGAGGTACCTTTGACCTACATACACGTAATATGCATAATTCCAGGGTCCTGTTTCTCAAACTTTTGTATTGATGACTTGTTAAGAAATTCTGGGTGCTTAGAAGAATAAAATACAGGAAAAATTGGCATAATGGTTGTGACCTTGATCTCCATGATGTATTTGATGACTCGTCTCACAAGGAACCTCTAGCATGCTAGAGTGAGAATTTAGTGTATCTTGGTGTGAGATCAGTAGAATAAAATAGCCAAGGGCTTGTCACAAAAATTCAGAGGAAATGAATGATATTCTAGTCAAGTTGTTGATGAATTTTTGGTATCAAATGTTTAATCTGTTAATTTTGAGGTTAAGCATGCAGACATTTATAAAGATCATAGTATTTTTGTAGGAGATCAAGTAATTAATTGAATGTCTTTGTATCAAATCTTTGTATCAAATGTAAAATAAAAGTACACATCAAATTGATGATGCTTGCATTAAAATGTTTACAGCAATACCTCTAATGTCACTTTTTTTTAATGGCATTTGTGAATTTGTTAAGTGTTTAATTTCTATATATCTGCTTTGAACACCAGGAATTCAAAGAGAAGATAACTCCTGTAATGTTATTGTACAGAGTTGCTTTTTGTCAATGTTTTTAGTTTAAGTCAGCAAGTTGTTGGTACAACTTATGTTTTCTTCATTTTCCTTTTTTCTTCTTCAGTTTTTGTTTCATTTAAAGGATCTGTTTGGTAAGCTCATGACAAAAGTATAATAATCATGTACCAAGGATTTTTTCGATGTTCATATTTTGGTCAACAGTCCATGTATGTACTGGTGCAGTTGCATCGTTTTTTTTTCAATGTGAATCACATATTAATTAAATGATATGATCCATTGCAATTCTCTAGATTTTGTCTACCTTTGTATGTTGTTATTCTGTATTTAAGAGATGGTGAAAATGTGGTACACATGTTAGACATATCATTATATTATACCCTACAAAACATCATGTCAGGTAGTTTACATGAATCTGGAACTTCCTTTAATAATTTTTTTTTAAAATTCTCTCATCAAGACAACAACATATACATGTATATATGATCAGGTTATCTTGTCCACTGGTCCTGTAAAATTTTTCATGTTCATGCATTACATGTATGTGCCATAAGATTTGACCATTGAAAACTGTGTCCAAAACTGAATGTGTTTAAAGATACTGCTTGTTAGATGAGAATTATTATGATTTATATGATCTTTTGGTGCACCCTTTGTTTCATCTATATGTAACTTATTACTATAATAAAGAGTTTATAAAATATAATGATTTCTTCTTTCAGGAGGTCAAAGGCTGCTTGAAACAAAAATGATTTGAAAAATCACTGAGATGTGTAAGCAATGTGGATATTATTTTGTTGTGCCAAAGTTTATAAGAAATATTTATAAACATGGATTTCTTACATTATGGAAAGTACAGTTGAAATTCAGTATCTCGAACATCAGTATCGTAAATGTCATAGTGAGCCAACGGTCACAGTCTTATTATGAAATCAAATTTCACCCTAAATATCTTGGAACCCAAGGGTATTAGTATCTCTTAGTTTTCCAACAATTCTACACGTACGATGTCTGAGATAACTAAGATTTAACTGTACACACGTACACTACATGAGGGAAAGAGAAAGAACCTTGTCTACTTAGTTCTACGTTACTCTTTTAGCTCACGTAAGCCAAAGGCTCATCTGAGCTTTTCTGATCAAAGAATGTCTGGCATCTGTCTGTGTGTTATCTGTAAACTTTTCGCATTTTCAACTCCTCTAGAACCACTTTGGCATTTTCAATTTTACTTGCAACAAAATTGTTAAATCAAAGGGAGATGAATTTTAAAATTTGGTGGCATCGTTTCAAAATGATTTTTAAGATATCAAAAACCACAGGACCTGAGAAGACAAAACGTGAATGCTTTCTTGTATAGTGTAGATTCCAGTTTGTTTAATTCATGATTCCTGGGGCAAGGATGGGGGTCAAAGTTTTGTATAGGGATGCAATTTGTATAGCAAATATTTAAAAAAAAAAACCAAGAACACCAGGACAAAAATCAACCATATTGATATGCAAGCATCATCACGTACTATACATTCAAATTGAAATCAAACTCCTTGAGCTAGGTGGGGCCACAATTAAGTGATACGAAGAAAAATCTTGTATAGGCAACAGCAGGGTCAAAATCACTCGATTCGGGTTTCCATTGTGCAATACTTTGTGCAATAAAGCGTATTTATGCTTTTAAAGAAATTCTTTAAAACATATTTTATCAAATTAAAAAAACAATTAAGAAATCAGGTTAAAATATATATTTACCTTTCTAAGGACCTGATTTATTAACGATATTTCATTTGATAGGCAGATGGACGTCGTTATTGTGTGTTTTTGACGTAATGATACACTGACGTTTATGAAGATGGATCATAAAAAGCGTTATAAAAGAAAAAAAGTATAAATTATATACTCTTGAAATTTGAAACACAGGAATTTAAGAATCTCACAATTATGTTGGATATTTTCTGTATGATTTCTTGGTATCTGTCATATTTTAGTACTCCACAAAAACAGGAAAATTTCGTAAATTTTGACATTTTGAGATGCCCCCTCTGGAAACCAGACGACAGAATTTTGTGTTTCGTACATGTATAATGCACAATATAGTATTACTAACCACATTTTAAAATTTGAGCAAAACGTCTATTGTAGTATTTTTATAATTTGCCTTGAAGTGCGATAAAAAGCATTTCCCCATATCATCCTACAGTAAATGTAAAGGTGTTTTGAGATAGTCCCTAAAATATCCAAACGGTAGATTTTCCCCAAACTTTGCATATGTACACTGAAGTCAGTGTCATCTACACATGGTATAAAAGTAAAGATTTTTTTCTATTGTAGTTTTTACTCAAAGAAATCCCAATCGGTTCTTTTGAATGTATTACTGTATACAGGGAAAATTTCGCCGACGTTTTATTTTCGCCCTCAAAGGTGGGCGAATTTAAAACGGGGCGAATTAAAAAAACACAGCATAATTTCTTAAAAATAATTGTGAGTGGCGAATTTAAAACGGGGCAAAATTCTATGCAAGTGTGAATAGGCGAAAATAACACAGGGCGAAAATATCTCTGTATGCAGTATATAAGCATCTCCATGTAGTCACTAAGTGTAGAGTCGAAGTTGTTCAAATCATGACCCCTGGGGCTAGGGTGAAGCTACAATAGGGGGTCACCATTTGACATGGGAATGTATAGGGGAAAATCTTTGAAAAGATCCTTCTAAAGAACCATAATTAATCAAATATAGTTAAGATTCTGATGTCGCGTAGATGCATGAGTTGTACTCTAGTTCAGGGTACCCTTTGGTCAAGAACTGGGTCATAAATAGGAACAATTTTTTGTATACAGATTCACAAGAAAACGGTCGCATTGTAAAGTTGATATTAAACATCAATATACACGTACTGTAAATTTAAATTGTCGAAAAAATGGACTTTAATTCGACAGCCATAATAAGGGGTTTCATTTATCTACATGTACAAATTCATTTGTTTGGAGATACATGGTGACCCGTGTGGTGAGCGCAATGGGTCAACGGCCTCTTATTGAACGATAAACCGGGTCTTCCTAAATTTTGCCACAAGGCTATTGCTGAAAGGAAGTGTTGTATAAGTATTTTAATAATTCAAAACATTCAATAAATGAAACATGTTGAAGGTAAATGAAATAACACATTGCTTCTTTGGTCAAAAACAAACAATACTCCATCCCTAATGATTCCCCTGACAATTATTGACACCAATATAAAACATATCTAATTCAATTATTATAACAACATATAAAGTACTGAATAAAATTTTATAAACAGTTCATATATAGTCACAGAATTTTAAAAATCAAAATTTCTACTTCTCATTGCTCAGTGTCCTTCACCTTTGGGAGGTGACCTTGAGTCAAGGACATGGCACACATTTTTCTTATCAGCAATGACATACCGAGATTATGACCCACACAAATAAATAAATAATTGCCAGTGACCTTGACCTTTGAGATATGACCTTGAGTCAAAGATATAGCTTATCGTTAGGTCATCAGCAACAACACACTTAATTAAGTTTGAATAAAATTCCAATCAAGGGTCCGATAGCTATATGGTCCAGACACGATCTTATGACTGCACAAATAGAACCAATATGCATCCCCCTGTTGAAGGAGGCAGAATAACCTGCCAATACTGTAACAACATGCAATGTGTCATAAATATCTCTTGGGTAATTATATGATAATTGTACAAGGAGAAACATTTTCCACTTTACATAATCAATGTATATAAGGTTGTGCCTTCCAATATTTCAATACCAATCAATGTACATGTACATACAAGATGATTTAACACAAATTATGTCTATACACACAAAACATCGACAAATTAGTGTGAAGTGTGTCAGACCCCTACAAATATTGGATAAATCTGTTTTATAAACTATCTGTGTTCTACTCCATTATACAAAGCACTTTTTTCATCGTACTGACTCATGGTACTGGCGATCGAGGATTTTCGCGATAAATGATCATCTGGTTTTATTAAGCTGGAGGAATTTCTAGCTACAAGCGATTTATAACAGTCTAAATACTTTGACGTTTCTACAGAAACACTGTCGCTGGAATGTCCAGCCTGAAGATCATCAATAGATGATACATGTTCTGGTTTATTTGAATCGGTCTCGAGTTTTGGGGATTGTGAATTTAGACTACAGTTAGTTTTTGATTCTGGGCAAGTGTGGTGGTTGCTTTCGGGGAGAGATTCTTGGGAACACGACTGATCCTGATCATGAAAGCCTATCGCTGTGCTGGCTAAAGAATCGTCCTCTTCTTGTAAGAGGTCTGCATTATTGCACATATCATAAAACGGCAGATTATCTAATTTTCGCTCTGTTTGATTTTCGCTAGAAATGGAATTGGAAAAAGAACGCTGCATTTTCCATAACATTCTTATATTTTTTTCTTTAATTGGTGAATTTTGTTCAATGACGTTCAGTTCGTGACTATTTTGTTCATGAGAGACGCCATTTTCTTTAATGGTGACGTCACTAGTGTGTGTCAAGGTGTTATTGGCTGGATGAATCACGGAATGTACAGCTAGACTATTCTTCCTAGAATGCGTCAATGTTTTGGAATTGGTAACTGTTCCTTTGCACCGATTTGCTCTCTCTGTACAGATCCCATATTTTGCAAGCAACAAAATGGTATCTTTCCGGAACTGCTTAGTGATTATAACATACAAATATGGATTCGCACACGAATTTAAAGGGTAGAAAAAAACGAGGAGGATTTTAGAATTGGACACATCAATAAGTGGCCAGCCCGCTGCCGCGGTTATTCCGAAAAAAGCAATTGGCGCCCAGCAAATGAAATTCGTGAAAATAAGTGTTGCCATCCGTTTGGCAATTCTGGTATCAGAACTATGCAGTGTAGAGTCATTTCCTCGAACACGACAATACATATTGATATAACACATACAAATAACAATAAAAGCTAAACCGTTCAACACCAGGAGAGAAATGACGTAAACAACGTCTCCTGTTTTTGTAATGTCCATAGGTAAACAGACGCTTACATTACCGTATCCATTGATGCCGACCAAAGGCAAGACGGCCATTAGTACAGCATATAACCACCCAGCCGCCATGACAACACACGATTGTCGAAGCTTTAATCGCTTTGTAAGGTGCATTGCATGACTGATGGCGTACCATCTCTCTAGCGTTATAACAGTTAGTGCAAAGATCGACAGCTCTGAGGAAAATACAGTTAAAAAACCTGCTGCTTGGCATCCACCTTCATTTTGCCAAGCTATTGCAAAGTTAAAGTATTCGCCAAGTGTATGGATATCGATGGCTGCCAAAAGTAACAGATAAACTCCCATAAGAAAATCTGCAAAGGCTAAATTACACATAAGGAACTTTGTGACAGTCATTTTCTTATGATTAGATAGTAGAACAACTAAGACGATGATATTGCCAATAAGTGTAGCCCAGACAACCAGCCAGACAAATATGCGAAGCCATTCGGAACCCATCACATCCTCGCAAGGATTAAAAGCATCCGGTACAGGAGTACATTCTACTTTTCGGTGCATGAAGACTACCTCTCCACATAATACTTGTGACTGATACCCTGTAGAATTGGTTGGTATAGTGAAAGTTACAAAACTTCCTCCCTGAGTTGGCCTGTCTAATGTGTTTTCCCCAATCTCTGACGAATTCACGATATTTCCAAATCCATTTCCATTACCCATAGCACTATCACCAAAATTTGACCATTTGCGAACAGACTCGTTTTGCAAGATGTAAGGAATGTTTTGATTGGCCAATTCATCGACGTAAAAGCCTCGTTTGGATCTTCTTCTAGTCAACTTCTGTTGTGGGAACTTTCCAAAAGGGCTGGGAGTAGTTGATGTCCCTCCAGTAAAGAGACTTGTAGTAGTTCTGGCGCACTCGGCCTCTACACGCCGCCGGAAGTCATCCCATTCTGCTGGGTATTGTTTTTCTGGATTTTTGAATGCACAACAGTGATGTGGATATGTTAACTTTGCTCGAATTAGCTTGTTAAATCGAACAACAGCTGGGAATGATCGAAGCGTTTTTGTTTCGCGAATGACAAGAGTTTCTATATTTGTCAGACCATTGGTGGGAAGTTTCTTGATTGCAGTATTCGAAAGATCTCTGTAATTAAAGAAAAAGTTTACAATTTTAAAATACTTTTTTACGGATGAAAAAGAATTTTCTAACTTTCAAACATACGTACAAATGCTTTAGTCCACTGATTCCCTTAAAAGCATTATCCTCTAGAACTGTGAGACGTATGTTGTCTAAAAGATCTCTACAATATATTATTAAAAATAAATATCTCGGTAATTTTGTATGACTATATATTTATTGTTACATTCAATAACTGTATATCACACAAACAAACAAAACTCACAATTTATATATGCTTGCATTGAAGAAAGCGCCATTGCGAATGGAACCAAGTTTACTTCCTTTTAGACGGCTGCAAGAAAACAGGAAGTGTTTTTATTTGTAATTAAAAGATCACTTTGGCTCAACCCTAAAAATGACCTATATAGAGAAAGTTATAAGAAATAGATATCTCATACAATTTTAATTATTTTCTGTATATATTCATTGAATTATTAATTCTGGATGTCGTCAGTCGTTTAAAGCGTTTGGTCGTGCAGACAGATTAAATACCGCGCGTTAACGATAATGACAATTTGAGAACTTTTGGAAAGTTGAATAACGCAAATGAATATTGCGAGGAAGAAAAATAAATAAATTTTAGATGGAAAAGTGTTATAATTTTACATGAATTAAGCAAAAGGGTATTAAGCAAAAACAATACACATGGTATTCCTAATTATTAAAAAAAAAATGTATGCAATTCCTATTGCGTATTCTTGCGCCGTGACACAGGCAATTGAATATTTCATGTTTTGGAATGGGTTTCAACGAAGAAAAACACAATTAATGTAAATAGTTTAAGTTATTCTAAGGTTTGGGTTTCATGACCCCGGATTTAACCTCACTAGACAAAGTCTCTTCCATTATCATTGGCGAAACAATTATTTCGTTTTGAGGATGAATTTATCTATATAAATGTTACATTGAGTTGTATAAGTATTACTACATTGAGTTTGTATATACACGTATGTTATTTTATTGAGTTGATGTACAAATGTTTCTACATTATACAAAATGTAATTACATTGAGCTGTACAAACATTACTACATTGAGTTTGTATATACACGTATGTTATTTTATTGAGTTGATATACAAATGTTTCTACGTTATACAAAATGTTATTACATTGAGCTGTACAAATATTATTACATTGAGTTGATCTATAATGTTACTATACATGTACATTGAGCAAATGTTACTACATGTACGCTATACAAAATGTTACTACATGTACGCTATACAAAATGTTACATGTACTACATTGATTTGTTATATAGATATCACGACATTCATCTGTTATATGAATGTCACTACAAAGAGATGTTATATTAATACTGTAAATCACTCTTTCTTTTCGTGTGATTACGCGATACTGTCTGCTCGCGAAAATTTCAATTTCGAGTATATTAATATTATACAAAAGATTAAATAGAGCAATGACCGAAATTCGTGAAAATTTTATCTCGCTTATAAATACAAAATAACAATCTCGCGAAAATAAAGAGTCGCAGAAATAAAGATATATACAGTATTACTACATTGAGTTGAACTTATATATAAATGTTAACGGTATTACATTGAGTTGTTATATTCATGTTACTATTATGTAAATGTTATTACATTGAGCTGTCATACAAGTGTTGTGATTACATTTAAATGTTGCTGCATAGAGCTATTCCATTCAGCTGTTATATCAATGCCTCTACACGGTTCTATTAAGTAAACGTTACTATAGCGATGGAACTATTATGTAGTTGTTACTATACTAAGTAATTACGGTATTTTATTTTTTTTACTACACTGAGCCGTTATGATACTTCTGTTACGGATTCGGAATAAGGCCTGGGTACTACAAAAGCTGATCTAGAGTCGCCAATATTCAGGCTAATTTAGCGAGGAAAACTGGTTAATAGGAAAAGATTCAGAATTTAGAAGACAGTTGAAAATCGATTCTCTACAAGCGCAGGTGTGAAGAGATTTCTTAAATCGGTCGACTTGCTTAACGCAGGTCTTTATTAACGGTGCAACAATGCTTTAATGGAAATTGAAAAAGAGAGGAGCAAGCAAATTTCATGTGACTTTAAAGTCGTTTATATATCTAAAAAGTAAAAACGGACTCACAGTTCCAGTGTTTTGACTCCAGAAAAACTGCTTTCTCGAATTTCTGTGATTTGGCTGTTTTCGCGTATCACACTGAAAAAAAAAAGAATTAATTGGTATCTCACGAAGCAAAAACAAACTGATTATATCTACAATTAATCTGAATTGATCAAATGTAATTCAGTTTTTCGTCATAGACAGTTTCGGTATGTTTATCCATTACGCATTGAAAGAAATCGAGTAATGAGTCGTAATTTAATGTTGAGAGACCAGCCTAGAAAACCCTGACTCAGTTCTTAGATGTTTCATACATTTATTTGAAAACACTTTAAATTGCTTACATGCGTTCTAACCAGCCTGATCCGTAGTGTGTTGAAAAGGAACTAAAATCAGGAATGGCGGCGATTCCGTTTCTGAACATATCTCTGTTACGAAGAAGAGAGAATTTTAAATAAGCGTAAAAATCAACAAGGAGCATGCGCAAGTATTTGAAAAACTAAAAAATTAATAACCAAAGGTATGCACAGAAGTTTGGGGGGGGGGGGTAGTAAAAGTTAATGCATAATTTCAGAAAACCCCTACCGTGACTAAGAATTTAAAAAGAAGAGGAAATTACTAAGTATACAAATAAGTTATATATGTCTTGTTTGAATTATGCCTGCAGTTTCCTTTTTTTTCTAAACTTAAAAAAAAAAACGTACAATGTTTCCAGAGATTGAAATTGAGTAAAAACGCCGGGACCGATATTCCGTAACTTCTCGCATCCACCAATTGTTCTGTAAAAAAAGCATGTAATAATGTAAGTCATAAGGAAAAATTATATATAAATTAAATTAATTAATATAAAGATATTATAGATATATACAGAAAATTAAACTTTCAACAAAGCTAACATGACATCCTTGCACGTTACTTGATAATTCAAGAGTTTAGATTTGTAATTCAATAAAATTATTTGTCTCGAAAATAAATCTAGGTTAAAAAGGTGTGATAACCGTATCTTGTTTTCTTTTTCATTTTTTTTTCAAAATTGAATATTCAGACTTCTTTGATAAATACGACTTGACTTTGACATAGGCACGGAGTATCAATAAAGGTCTCTTGTGTGGTTAGTCGTGAGTTATTGGTCTTTTTTTCTTGAAATTTCCCAGCAATTTTTTTTTCAAGTAAGGACTATAGTACTCAAAAATAGCGTATAATCAATGGATTTCGCTCTCAGTCATTTTTAGCGCCAGTAGCGACTTTTGATTATGGGTCAATGTCAAGGAACATGTTAGTACATGTAAATTAGAAAAATAAGTCTGGAGTTCGGAGCTTCATGGCCTTTGGTTGCAACTACCGTAATTTGATTGTAAATCGATTTGTTGTAGATAGTTTGTATATAATATGGTTGGTATGCAAAACACTTTTAAAATTCTGCAATCGGACAACATATCTAGCACTTTTTTGCACTAACATTTTCTTTTGTATAAGTAAAATCGAAATTATGCGTAAATGTAAGTCAAGAACATTTTGAAAAAAAAAACATAAATTATTGCTATTAGTCTTTAAGCATATCATATTTATCCAGATCTACATTTTGGCGATAATTATATATGTTACCACACCAACTGTGCCAAAACAAAATCCAACTTAACGAAGCCGAGTCTAATTCGAGTGCACATGACTTGGCGCAACTTTTTTCCACAGGCACTTGAGTAATGGAACCCCACCCCACACCCCCCCCCTTTCCATTTTTTTTCTTTTTAAATCTGGGGTTGAGTCACCTTCTTTCTATTTTTTTTATTCTAATATGCACTATCTGTTACCGATAATGTAACCCTTTTGTCTCTATAAGCTGTTTTTAAATATATCGTTTTCGACTGATACATAAAAAGAGAGGTTTGGACCCCCCCCCTTCCATTTTTTTTCTTTTTCAATCTGGGATCAAGTCACCTTTTTCCTGTGTTTTTATTCTAATATGCACTATATGTTATCGATAATGTAACCCCTTTGTCTCTATAAGCTCTTTTTCAATATATCGTTTTCGACTGATACATAAACAGAGAGTTCTCTCTTTTTATGTATCAGTCGAAAACGATATACACGTTCTACACGTTTTACACGTTCTAGTTTTGTAAGTGTAACTCTTAAATCCTTTGGTAAATTCAGCAGATAATTTTCGAAACCAAAGTTTGTTTTAAAAATTCTATAATTAATACACTTGGGTGAACTATCAACAATGCTTCTCCATATATCGAAAACGATATATTTAAAAACAGCTTATAGAGACAAAGAGGTTACATTATCGATAACATATAGTGCATATTAGAATACAAAAATAGGAAAAAAGTGACTCGACTCCAGATTTAAAAAGAAAAAAAAAATGGAAAAAGGGGGGGGGGGGTCATACCCCAAGTGCCTGTGATGAAAATATAAACTTTGTAACTATTCCTTGACCAATAGATGAATTTCAAAATTTGATGACTTTTTACAATAATTTTCATGTATTTGAGTGAAAAAGAAATTGCTAGCACAGAAAAACAAAGAATATGGGGAAATGTGATAATTTGGCTCTTTTCTAACAAATTAATATAATAGTAAAAATTAAAATCAAAATATCTAAGGTAAAAAAATAAGTAGACTCGGTCTCGTTAAATAAGTACTCCTGTACAGTAGTAATGTTTTCTGATTATGATAAATAAATTATTACATGGCATTCATTTGCAACTCGAATTTGATCGAGCGCTAAAATGCACCATTTAGTAGCATACATTATATAATGATAACCCCATAAAATTGTAAAATATCTCAAAGATGCTTAGTTAAAGAGAGAAAATAAAAACTTTTGATATGGAACGAAAAGTTCCATGCACTGATGCATGATCTAATTTTGGCATCTAGTGGGTATAATTCATAATTACCAAACAGCAAAATTGAACCGTTTGTTTATCAAATTTTCTCACAGAACTCCCAAGAGAAGCTTTATCTGTCATCTCTATTTGTTTTTGTTGACGTTTGGCTCTCATCTCACTGGAAGTCAATTATGTCTCGATCTTTCGATTACCACAGTGTAGAATTAAATGGAATAGAGTTCGAAAGCAATAAACATTCTTTTAAAATATAGCCATTTTTTGACAATTCATAAAATTTATTTTATTCTTAGAATTTTTTTTGGTCAATTTACCTGTTGTAAAGAAGTTTATCAGAGAATAAGTTCCAAGGTAAAATATTGGAACACTTGATCTTTATAAATGTCTGTTACATACATGAATATTTTTTATCATCATTGTTGCGTGGGAAAGATTGATGAAATCCAAAACACAAAAGATCGTGAATGACAAAGATAATTAGTGCATGATGAAATTTAATTTTTTTCTAAAGTTTTACCTAATATAGTGATTTTGGTATCTGTACCTCCTGCCCTGATTTTTTCATGTTATACGCACGTAAAATTTTTTCAAGTTGAACGCTTTTCAGGATTTTCAGGGTTTTTTCATGTGAAATTCATTCGAAGCATATCTGGCTGTGTATATATTGTCGTAAATCGGCACAATAATGCGAATTTATGACACTGATGTATATATATAATTACGTGTTATCTTCATTTGCATGAGTGTTCTTCTTCATTGCTCATCATTGTTCGAGTGTTTGAATACTTATGTCTTACACAGGATTCCGTGCAATTTTTCTACCCTTTACTTCATCAAAGATCTCCAAATTAAGTTATCACATTTAGCTTTCTGATTGGGATGTCTCTTTTCCGGTTATTTAATATCTATGATATTTCTAATTGCTAGTTATCCATTTGTCTCACTGACGAGAAATCTGAATGCAAGAAAATTGCATTACCAAGAACACGAAGATCAACAACTGTATTCATATCGTAAGAGCCGTATCGATGAATTATCAATCACTCAATTAAGAGAACGACACACCATCATGGTTGACAGTAACTAATATCATTATGTAAATGCTTATAATCTTTATTGGCCTAATGATCAATTATTTGATATCAAAGTGACCATTCATTTCGAGAAACAGGTTAATTTGACACAAAAGTGCATGGAATTTGGTTCCGAGCCAACTTGAGAGGAGAGTAATATTTGGAATCTAAAAATTATTACATATCATGTAAGTCGATTCTCCGTTATATTCACCGTCTTCTCATATTTTATTTTTTTTTATTTTAACACAAAGTATATATTACATGTTTGTGTAATTCTTCGGAACGTTAAGTGATTTTGAAAAAAGAAATTTATTAAAAAAAAATAATAAAATGAATCGCTAAATGCTCCACGTTTCTGTGTTGCACAAGGTTTTCCATGGTGCAATTTAACTTGTTTTGTTATCGCTTTTTCGTTTTGTTTTGTTTTGTTTGTTTGTTTGTTTTAATAGGAAAAACCTCAGATATTACAAAAGCATATAAACAAATGATCATCAAACAATTGATGTACACTGTATATCACACAGTAAAGTGTATTTAATTATTACGTACACGTGGATAATTTACCATGACAATGCTGATAGCAAATCCTAATTACATTATTTCATACAGAACACACATATATATATAATAATCAGTGAAAAATATTTCATGCTATTTTAAAGATGACCCACCTATGCCCCGCTTATTTAATTCGATGAGTGCATGGAAATCAGTCAAGTCTGCAGATGGCGTCCGTTAAAATTGATAAACAAAAATTCTCTGATTTGAAGCCCCCCCAAAAATGAATTTTGTTCCTCTTATACATAGGGTTTATAGAGCATATTACAACTGAAAACTATTCTCTCTTTTAAATATTCTGAAAGATCGATTTTGGGTCTGATCACCAATTTTGATTTTACATGGTATTTTTCGTAAGACGTTGGTGCCTGTACTCGATCGCAGGCTTATGAAATAAATTATCGAAAATAACTAATAATTTCCATTTTGTTTACATGCAGATTATTTAGTAAATCAATGACCTTTATCTATACTTCTACCGAGGTGGGATAAAATATAAATTCTCAAATCGTCAAAGCAAAATTAATTTTCAAAATTTTTTGGAATGTTCTGTAATCTCCTCTTTTTTTATGTAGAAATGTGAACAAAATATATAGAAAAAATACTGACTGTAGTTTTCATCTTTCTCGAGCACTCGGTTCTTATTGATTAAAATCGTTCTTTTTTTCTTCCTTTCCTTTCAACCCCTCTGAATCCTCAACCTAATAGCATGCTATCTTGATGTGGAAGTCTTATAATTTAAAACAAGGCACTCTTACATCAAGACTTTTAGTCTTCGAGTTCCAATTCTTGCAATCATCTAATGATATTTCCAGTAGAGATGTGTCTGCGATTGACGGTTCATTAGGACGTTTTGAACGATACAAAACGTTAGATATGGCTTATATAAGGTCGTTTAGAAATAATTAAAGGATTAAAAGGGCAGCCGATTTTGTGGAA